TCTGTCGCTTGTTCCGCTCTGAAGCTGAATATAACTCCCTCCTTGAGCTGACCACCAGCGTGATCTCCCACGGTGCCAAGACCATGAAGGCCAAGGCAGGCTCGGGCGTGGGCGTGCTCCCCCCCAGTTGACATCCAACGGCAACCAGCGGATGCGATCACGGAATTGGTACATGCATTCGCTTCTGCTTAGACGGTGCTGGCGTGGCCTGCCCAGATCCAGCTCACCGTCTGTTATTTGATTCCAAAGAAGTCCAGTGACGACCGTGGCATCGGCATGATTTCGATCCTGGGGCGCTTATGGTCGCGCACTCGGGAACCACTGGTACGCCTGTGGAGCGCAGACGAGGCTAGGACGTGGGACGCAGCGGCGGAAGGCAACTCCTGTCTCCGCGAGGCCGACCTCCGCCATGGGTGATGACCTTGCGCACTGGCATCGCATGCAGTGTGGACAAGGGGCTACCAGACGCGCAGGAGTTCCACGACACCACCCCATGGCTTTCATTGGTAAAGGCTGCCCTGAGACTACACGTTCCACCTACTGCCCTCTACCTCGAATTGTTGCCGTGAATTTCGGTGCGTACCCTCTCCCAGGTTTGCGCAGTGCGCAAACCTTTCGGCCCGTCATCCAAGGACTGCGCGAGGGCACTAGGTTCGCCAAACGTATCACCCACTTCGTGGTGCAAGCCGTCACTGTGGCAACTCCACTGATGACCCATCGCGTCTGGGTAGATGACATATGTGAGAAGATAATGGGCTCTCGCCAGGCTGTTCGCACCAACCTTGTCTGAGGGGTGGTGAAGACAGGCGGAGAGCTCGCCGAAGTTGGCCCAAGTTGGCCAACAAGTCAATCACCATGTGTAGCACTTCCTCCGACGCATATGCAGTGGCCTGTTCGGCCAGGCTGGAAGGCTATCCAGTCAATGTGATGCGCCAGGTGCCATGCCTGGGGGGTGATTTCAGCTGCGGGCGGACGGACAGGGCCATGCGCGCACAGCGCCAGGCCAAGCACTCGACCATGTCTGTCGAGGTCAAGCGATTCACTCGTGCCACGAAGCGCTACAGCATCATGATGCGGCTTGAGCGCAACGGGTGCCAACTTGCTGGGACTTGCGGATTTCAGATTCACGGAATGCTTGGGAGTCAATTACACATGTGCAGACGCCGACGGGGACAGATCTGTGCAACGGGCGCCCGAGGTGGATGCCTCACTACGGTTCTCGACCTATGAGCCCCTGGAGGAGATCCAGTAACCGCGTATCTTGCCAAGTACATCGACCAGTGGCTCACCACATGGCAGCAGCATCCAGACCTGCGGCGAGGTATCCGCATGGCCTGGCCCAAGGTGCTTGCCCATGTGCGATATGCGCACCACTGAGCCTCCACTGCAGTCCCGCGCAGTGCGAGGGCAGATCTCGGCGACCATCCTCACGCGGCTGCGCATCCAGTGAAAACCCAGCCGAGGTCGACGACTGGCCACTCACTTCGCTGCAGGGCACCAAGTAGCGATGGCAATTTCCAGATAGTATCTACACGGGCAATCCGCACCTGGACACCCACAGAGACTTATTGCTGGACATCCGAAGGTCAGCTGAACTGGTAGCGCGGCGGCAGGCGGCGAAGCATTACTGCGGGGTGGGGGGCTGGAGACGGGAGCCGACAATGCTTCTTGCCGGCTCCTATTCGAGCAGGTTTGCAAATCATGTCAGAGCTCTTTGTCGCTATCGGTGCTGGCGGCTGCTGGGCCCGCCAACGCCGCCAGGTGAATTGAAATAATATAAAAGGCAGCAACCTGTGCGAGAGACGGGGCCTACACCCCGAGACGCCACTTCATCGTTTCTGGGAGTGCGAGAAGAATTATGACGCTCTGCCTTGCACGCGGTCCGCGCCCCTTGTTCCTGAGGCGCTGGCCCAACACGATCTGGCGGAGTGCTTCTGGCTGCGGGGCCTCATTCCGCAGCTATGGCCAACTGTTCCTGAGCCTGAGGATGACCCCCCTCTCGGGCACACTGTCATCAACAGCATCAAGCAGGGAGTCTTCGGAGCAGGCAGTGGACACTGCCCAGTGGAGATCTTCGGGTGCGCTAGCGGCGGCAGGGGCACGGCACTGCCGCGTTTGCGCAGGGTCGGCGTCGCCATCGCTTGCTTCGACCAGGTCCTACCAGATATTGACATTAGGGGCACAGTGTTCAGCCCACTCGGAGGATCGCGCCAAGTTGTGGCACGAGGTGAGCTGCATGCTTTGTATCGCGCTTTATGGAGCACCACGCGATACATAACGTTTGCCAGTGATTGCGATGATGTTGTGGTGGGATGGTACAACTGAATGTATGTGAATCCAGCAGGTGACGACGCTGATACATGTAATGAGATAGGTCAGCTCATGCGCAACACATGTCCTGTTGAGATTGCCACGCTGTGGGCAAACTCCCGTATGACGACCAGTTATGCGGTGGAGGGCAAGGCAATCAGGTACTACGTGCTCGGCAATTTCGTCGCGGACGATTTCTCTGGATACGCTGCCAATCGTGCGAAGCTCCCCGCCAATATCCGCCATGCAGCTCTCATGATCCAGCGAGTTGCCCACCTCATTCGTCTGCGCTTGTTGCGGGCCGCGCTCGACAGTATCCGCGTTGGACAGAAGCTGGAGAAAGAGAGGAAGAAAAACCTGAGCCCCAATGCCTTAGGGGCACCTGTGAGACCCCTCCTCCTCCCGTGCCGCCTTCCCCTGCCTTTGTCTATGCCGCAATGTCTAAGCGCCGTTTCGCCGAATGTGGTCGGCGATGCATCAAGTGTTTTGGCTCCGCTACCTTCGCCACCTCCAGGGAATTAGTGGATTCCGGTTGTCCGACAATGTTAACGGGGTGTTTTTTTCGGCGATCTTGGGGTCGCGAATCCATCTCGCGGGGGGTTGGGCCCATCAGACGCACACCCTGAATGTCCGCCCGACCCTGCAGGCTTGGTCCTGTTCTGAATGTGGGGCGATCGCCGATAAGGTTTTGCGATCCTTTAATCCCCCTGCTCCCGTAAGAAGACCGCTACTGGCAGAGAGCATCTCGACAGGATTGCTAGGGGTTCACACCCCAAAGTTCTGAGCCGTGCTGAGCAGTCAGCACGACGCCCCAATAATCTCCAGCCAAAGCCTTCGTGAACCATCGAACTTGCATCGCAGCGGTGTCCACTCCAGTCCACTCCACTCCACTCCTCCTTCCTCATCCTCCTCCTCCTCCTCCTCGATCCTGCTACGCCCTTCGGGAGGCCGAAAAAAAACCCAAGCGCCACCAAGCAGGAGCCCACTCTCCCTCCGTCGATGCTTTCGCGTCGGCCCATGTCGAGGCCGGCGGTCGGACTGACCTTCTCGGGTACGTCGTCTCTTCCTCGATCCTGCTATTCGATCGTCCGCCTCGATCCTGATCCTGAACCTGATCCTCCTCCTTCTCCTCCTCTTCTTCCCTGTCTGAATGACCGAACTGAAGGGCTCATCAACATCATCATCAGCATCATCATCATCATCATCATCATAATCATCATCTGCATCATCAACATAATCAACATCAGCATCACCATCGTCATCGTCATCGTCATCGTCTTCATCATAATCATCATCATCGACATCACCATCGTAATCATTACCTTTATCACCATCATCATCATCAGCAGCATTATCATCATTGTCATCATCACTATTGGTATTATTATCATAATTATCGCTGTCACCATTCCATCCGTATCATCAGCAGCATCAGCATCAGCAGCAGCAGCAGCAGCAGCACCATCATCATCATCATCATCATCATCATCATCATCATCATCATCATCATCATCATCATCATCATCATCATCGGCAACAGCACTAACATAATTACCATCACCATTGTCACCGTCATCGGCATCGTCATCACCAGTACCCGCAGCATCAGCATCGTCACCACCATCATCGTCAACACCATCCTTACCATCATCACCACCCTCATCATCAGCATAATCGTCATCACCATCATCATCTTAATCGGCATCATCATCACTACCATCATAATCATTATCATCATCATAGTCACCGTCATCACCATCATCACCATCATCATGATATACAGCATCATCATCATCATCATCATCGTCATCATCATCATCATCATCATATACCTTACCATCACCATCATCATCACTATCATCGCCATCCTCATCAACAACAACAACAACATCGTCATCACCATCATCATCCTCACCATCACCATCATCACCACCCTCCTCCTCCTCCTCCTCCTGCTCCTCCTCCTGCTCCTCCTCCTCCTCCTCCTCCTCCTCCTCTCTACTCCTCCTCCCCAGGGGTCCATTTCGATCCAGCTGTTCCAATTCGATGATGCTCGATGCCGATTCTGACCGACTCGATCCGAGTCGATCCCCTGGGTCACCCACGGGGGCGCGAGGATAATCGCGCTTCGCGCGTCGCGGTCTGGGCCAGGGCGGCTGCCCTCCATCAAGAGCGGCGGCGCGATGGCGCGGTGGGCAAAGATCACCGCGCGTCGCACACCGCGGGGCGCCATGCGCAAAGTTTGGTGACCCAGATCTCGACGTGACGACCGATCCGATGCGGCCCACTGTCTGCTCGGCGCTGCTCGGCCACGCGCAGATGGGGGGTAGCGGGAGGCGGGAAGGCTTTTTGGAAGCACCCCTGCTGCTCAAGAGCCTCCCCCCCTCCCGCTACCCTTTCGTGCGCCGCCGCGCTGCTGTTCATGCGGGCGCGGCCACTTCGGTTCGATCCCGAGTCGACTCGGTGTCCCGATTCGATGCGGACCGCGCCTGCCCCCCTGAGCGAGTACGGCAGGGTCGTGCCGCGCTGACGCGGCCGCGACCCCAGCGCGGGCAGCCCAAGGGTCGGCCGATGCGCTAACGGAGGGCCGCGGTCGTTCGAGGTCGAAAGATCTACGCAGCGCTGGAAGCCGACTGGCAAGTCGTTACGACACGAACCCGCCGTACCCCCTTCGAGCGCCCCCTCCGCAGGTCGGCGCAGGGCTCCTGAACGTGCCGGTGGCCTTCATGTACTCGTCGGTGCTGGGCGGCGTGCTGGACATGGTCCTCTCATCCGTGCTCGCGACGGGAGGCTTCCTGCTCATCGGCTACTGTTGCTCCAAGACGGGCGCCCGCAGCTACCGGGCGCTGATGTCCGTGTCCGTGGGCCCGGCCTGCGGCAAGCTGATCGACGTGATGCTCTTCTTTCACACGCTCTTCAGCTGCGTCGGCTACATCACGCTCATCGGGGACTTCACCACCAAGAGCATGTCCGGTCTGATGCCCGGCTCCATCTTCGCCACGAGCCGCGCCTTCGCGACCGTCACCATCGTCGTGCTCATCATCTTCCCCCTCTCGCTGCTCCGCGACCTGAAGTCGCTGAAGCCGTTCTCCGCGATGGGGCTCGCGGCCATCGCGTTCTCGTGCCTCTACGTCTTCTACGAGCTGTGGGCGACCTCAGATGAGAACACGCCGATGCAGACAATCAGCGACCACTGGTGGTACGTCAAGTTCGACACCTTCAAAACCATCGCGCTGTTCAACGGTTCGTTCTCTGCCCACTACAGCGCACCCACCTTTTACGCGGAGCTCAAGCAGAAATCGTTCAACCGCTACGCGCAGTGTGCGTTGTGGAGCTTCGGCATCTCCACGATCCTATTCACCGTCTTCGGCGTGGCGGGCTTTGCCCGTTTCGGAGACGACGTGCTGGGAAACATCCTGAAGAGCTACGATCCCACCAGCATCCCCGTGCAGCTCTCATGGATGTGTATGAACATCGCAACCATATTCGTCTTCCCCATCGCGTTCCAGCGCATGCGCGCCTCCTGGACCGCGCTCGTCAACAAGCCTCTGGGACTGCACGGGAACTCCGCCATCCCGTGGACGACGATCGGGCTGCTCGCCGCAAGCACCTACTTCGGCATCGCCTTCACGGACATTGCCGTCGTCAAGCTGATCAAGGGTGCGACTCTGGGCGTCTCCATTATGTTCATTATGCCAGGCCTGGCCTTCCTCGGGATCAGCAGCAAGGGCGGCAACTACAAGGACTTCGAGCGCAACTTCTCCCCAGAGATGGTGCGCCAGATCTCACCGAGCAAAGAGGTGTTCGACCAGGAGCCCACCGGCATGGTCAGGGCCTTCAGCTACGTCCTCGTCGTCGTCGGTGTCCTCCAGGGCATCTTCGCCCTCCTCAGCCACTTCAAGCTGATCTGAGATCGCGCCTCGCACCGCGAGGCACCGAAGCACTCCACTACGAGCCCCCCCCCTCCCTCTCCTTGTCCACCGCCTCCGCGCCATTGCGATGCGTGTTCCGACACGCCGCGAGAACCGAAGCATAGCAGGATTTTGGACACTCATACATGTGCGCTACAGAGTTGCATGTGTTTTTGAGCTGTGCGCGGCAACAGCGGCGGTTGCAGCGCGGCGTTGCCGTTTTTCTGGGCCAGTGGAGGCTTCGGTTTCGAGTTTTCTACACAGCTGCGTGCGGCAAAAAAACAAATTCTAGACGCCTCGCGTAACCCCACCAGCCCATCCAGAAACGATGCCCAGAGGAATTGCTTCGATCAGGGAAGTGGGCAGCACACAGAGGAAGGGTCCCCCAGTGGAGGCCTCTTGGAGCTTCTTGGGGCCTCTTGTGGGTCTCTTGGGAGCCTCTTGGAGGCCTCTTGGGCGCTTGTTGGGGCCTCCTGGGGCCTCCTGGGCGTTTCTTGGGGCCCTCTTGAAGCGCTCTTGGGAGCCTTGGGAGCGCTCTTGAAGCCCTCTTGGGCCGTCTTGAAGCCATCTTGAAGCCTCGGATGGCCATCGGAAGCGAAAAGGCGAGAAAGCGAAAAACATAGATTTTCCTAAGGTTTTGGAAGGATTTTGGCCTCTTCCAGGCCTCCTGGGGGAACTCTTTGACCACTTGGAGCCGTCTTGGAGCGGTTGGGGCCTCTTGGAGCATTGTGGGAGCCATCTTGAGGCATCATCTTGTGATATCTTGAGCCATCTTGGAGGTCTTCTTGGGCTCTCCCAGGCGCTCTTGGAGTCATCTCAAGCAGTGCCTCCCCCCCCAGGAGGCCAACATGTGGCCAAAACCGGAATGAATCAATGATGTTGGCATTGTCGCCGAGGCCTCTTGGAGCGTCTTGGGTGCCTCAGGGGAGCCTCTGGGGGGCCTCTTGGGGGTCTCTTTGGGGCCTCTTGGGCCCTCTTGGGGCACCCCTGGGAGCCTTCTGAGCGCTCGTGAAGTCATTTCGGAAAAGATGAATCAAAGAAGGGGGGTTCCTTAATTAGCGTTGCCACCCCAAGAGGCCAAAATGGGGCCAAAACCCGCGTAAAACCAATGATTGTGGCTTCCTCGCCGAGACCGTTTTGGACGCTTCGACCGCTCGCGGAACGCCCCGTCTAGGTCCAGGGGAGGGGTAAGCCTCCCAGAAGGGGAAGAAGGGGGTGGAAGCGGAAACGACCTAAACCACCTACGCCCAGAAGGCTGGTGGGATTGTGCGAGTGCCGCGTCGAAATGCATGCGCGGTGGCTCTAATGATGTCTCCGAGCAGGATCCGTAGAAACGTTTTCGGGCTGTCTAGGAAGCGGTTCCACGGTGCTGTAGCGTGACGCAGCCAGAACATTGCAGGTCTGTCAAGTTAAAGTTTGGGGGGCTGTCCGGGGGAATCTTGGCGGCGTTGAGGCACCTATTCCTTCCCGCCTCCTCCTGCTCCACCCCTACTCAGATCCTTCCCCGTCTGTGCTATACAAGTGTAGACTCCAAGCAGTGAGTTACTACACTGTGGAGGTGAAGGATGCGCGGAGTAAGCTATGTGGTGTTTGCTATGTTGTGTAAACCATGTGGTGTGATCTATGTTGCGTAGGGTATGCGATGGACCATACACTGGTGTGAGCTATGCTGTGAACGCTATGCGGTGTATTCTATGCGGTGAGAGCTGTGTTGTGTAAGCTATGGTTCCCATCCAGGGCACGCGGCGTCCACGAGGCGCCCACTGGCGGGCACCAGGGGAAACCTCGGTACCCACCCAGCGCACGGGGCGCCCGCGAGAGCCCACGAGGCACCAACGGGCGGGCACCAGGCGAAACCTCGGTGGCCTCACAGGGCCCAGGGACAGTTTTTCGTCCCGGATGCATTCTTAATGGTCCCGGGCCCGGCAGGCCCCCAGACGACGAAGCGAAGGAGAATCAGCGGGATTGAGCAAAGTCGGTCCGCTTGGGCAACCGGTTGTCCTAGACCTCAGGGGCGCTCGACACGGATCTACGAAAGAGCGCGTTCTGTGGTCGCTTTTGGGGGGGGGGGTGGAACCAGACCCCCCCTCCCTGGATGGAGAGGGAGAGGGGAGTTCGACCCCCCCCCATCCCTCCCCCCTTCCAGTCAATTACAAGCAAACAGTGCCGAGGAGCTGGTGTTAACAAGTAAGGTTCTCATCTTGTATAAGAAGGACAATGCCAGCCTTCCCTTAAATTACCGGCCGATAAGCATCCTGCCTGTCATGTAGAAAGTATTTTCTTCGGTCCTGGTCGGCAGAACGAAGGGGATCCTGGAGGCAAAACAATTGCCGGAGCAAACAGGATTCCGCTCTAGATATAGTTGTTCGGAGGTCGTACACACGCTCCGCGCCATCGCAGAAAAAGGCGGAAAAATGGGGGGAAGAAGTGTGGATGGCTTCTTTAGACTTGGCAAAGGCGTGCGACCGAGTATTACACCCTGTCGTGCTCCATGCCCTTGAAGTGGCCGGTGTGGATAGTGCAATCAGACACACATTGCAACGGCTATACGATAGTATGCAAGGCCACGTGCAAGTTGAGTAGCTCAAGCAGAACGTTCCCAATCAAGAATGGGGTCCGGCAAGGCGACCCGATCTCCCCGCTGCTGCTCAATAGTGCCACGCGGTTGGTGTTTCGAGAATTGCGAAAGACATGGGAGCAGAGATCGCTTGGCACAGTCGTGGGGGCCCTTCAGGACGGGTGCGGCCGCGTCACTCATGTAATTTCTTCTGACGACACGATTCTGATTGCAAAGTCTGCCGAGGCATTGCAAGAAATGCTCGACGGCGCAATCGCTGCTCTAGGCGCCCGCGGCTTGCGTTTGAATTCAAGCAAATGCTCAATTCAACACAATAGTAGAGACCCGAGATAAGGCCTGGAAGTGCAGGGGCAGATGTTCTCTATAGTCCCACCTACTGTTGGGTTCAAAATTTTGGGCATTCAGTTCACGTTGTCAGACCGAACGGGCAAAGAAATCTCAGCTCGTATCAAAGCAGGGTGGGCAAAGTTTCATCAGTTATGGCCGCTGTTCAACCCAAGGCGAGGGCTACTGAAGAAACGTCTTCGTCTCTTTGATGCCGGCGACAGGCGGAAGCTGCAATCTGTACAAAACGACATGTTGCGGAGAGTCGTTGGAGTCAGACGACGCCCAGAAGAGGATTGGGTTGCGTGGGTAGTTCGTTCCACAGGGGCCGTAAGATTGGAGGCAGCACGACATAACGTCAAGACGTGGGAGCACGCATACCTGCAATCTAAGTGGCATAGTGCGAGAATGGGGAATGACAGGTTGTGCAAGAAATCCGTCGCGTGGAAAGATGCGGAATAGTGCGTGCTGCAAGACCTGATTGGCAACAGACCCACAAGACCACGTCGCACACACAGGTTCCGATGGGAAGATGATCTTTGCAATTTTGACATGTTATGGAAGGACCGAGCCCAAGACAGGTGCAAGTGGAAGGCAGCACCGTCGCAATTCGTGTTGGCGCTTGAGAGGTTGCACCATCAAAGAAATGACCATGCGAGAATTGGGGGGCGCTCTGCAGGGGTAGTTGTGAGAACTCGAGGCATGTAATAATATCAAGAAGTATGGGTGCAGTGTGAGAATGTAAGAAGTGGGCGCAGTGGCTGGTGCGCGCCAAGGACGCGCTACGGCGCGATCGCCCCTCTCTTCGGAGCGTCCGCGCAAGGGGAGCAGTAGCATTAATATTCCCTTCCTGTGACGGAGGGGGGGGGTTCGACCCCTCCCCTTCCCTTCCCCTCCCCCTCCTCCCCTACTTCTCCTCTCTCCCTCTCTCCTCGGGCCGGCGCCTGCGTCGGCGGCGGTTGGCGGCGGCGGCGGGGACGACGACTTCCTTTTCTGGGCCGGCGCTGGCTCCTGCGGCGGCGGGTGGTGGCGGTGGTTTGTGGAGGTGTTGCTGGTGGTGGTGGTTGTGGTGGTGGCGGTGGTGGTGGTGTGGTGGTTTGCGGTGGTTGTGGTTGTGCTGGGTTGTGCTGCTGGTAGTGGTGGTGGTTGTGTCGGCTGTTGTGGTGGTGTGGTAGATTGTGGTGGTGGTGGTGGTAGTGGTGGTGGGTTTTTGTGGTGGTGGTGGTGGTGAGTTGTGGTTGTGGTGGTGGTTGTGGTGGTGGTTGTGGTGGTGGTGGTGGCGGCTGTGGTGGTGGTGGTGGTTGTGTGGTGGGTTGGTGGTGATTGTGGTGGGTTGAGGTGTGGTGGTGGTGGTGGAACTGGTGGCGGTGGTGGTAGTGGTGGTAATCGTCGCTGCGTCCCCGCCGTCGGCGCTGCTGGCCGCCCCCCGCGCCGGCGCCGGCGCCGGCGCCGGCGGGGCGGGGGTTTGGGTTTGGACTCCCCGCCCCCCCCGTTGGGCTGCCTCTGGTTATCGTCGATGCGCCCCCGCCGTCTGCGCTGCTGGCGGCCGCCATCTCCGGCGCCGGCGCCGACGGTTTGGAGGGGGGGGGTTTGGGACCCCCCCCTTTGGTAGGGCGGGGGGGTTCGGGAGGGCAGCAGCAGCAGCAGCAGCAGCAGCAGCAGCAGCAGCAGCAGCTGCAGCAGCAGCAGCAGCAGCAGCAGCAGCAGCAGCAGCAGCTGCCGAGAGGAGGAGCGGATCCAGGCCCCCCCGGCATCGGCGCCGCCCCGCTGCCGCCCGCCGCCGCCGGCGGCCACGCGCACGCCCCGCACGCTGCGGGCCCCGCCGCGCGCGCTGGGGGGTCGTGGGCTTGCCTTGCCCAGCTGCCGCGGCTGCCTCTCCCGCGCGGGCCTGCGCGGGGCGAGGAGTTGGAGGAGGCGGAGGAGATGGGGAGGAGCAAAGGGAGGAGGAGGAGGAGGAGGAGGAGGAGGAGGAGGAGGAGGAGGAGGAGGAGGGGGAGGAGGAGGAGGAGGAGGAGGAGGAGGGAGGAGGAGGAGGAGGAGGAGGAGGAGGAGGCGGAAGAGGCTGAGGAGGAAGAGGCGGAGGAGGAGGAGGCGGAGGCGAAGGCGGAGGCGGAGGAGGGGGAGGAGCCAAGGGAGGAGGAGGAGGAGGAGGAGGTGGAGGAGGAGGAGGAGGAGCAGAGGCAGGAGGAGGAGGAGGAGGAGGACTACTACGGAAGAGGAAGAAGAGGAGGAGGAGGAGGAAGAGGAGGAGGAGGAGGAGGCCGCCACGGGTGGGGGGAAGAGCAACTTTCGAAGGTCACCCGTCGGTAAGTAGGTATCTCTGGACTCCCATATCCCAATCTACTTCTAGCGCATTCTATTTCAAGAACCGATGTGC